CCATTCAAAAGCCAAGCAGCACCTGCAGAATCCAGAGGTTGTCACATTTAACTCTGAGCACCAGAGTTTCATGAAGACACTCCACTGCACTGACTCATCCTCAGTGCACCCTGCCACCTTCCCAGAGTTTATAACCTATTATACTTGAGATTTATTGCTTAATAATAACTTAACCACCTCTGAGGTGCCATGTTCTCTCTAATTCCCAGTGTACTTGTCCAATACAACTTTTATTGCACATGTATGCAGCTTTACAGCTTCAGTTAAGTTTATGTTATACTGAACGATTATATGTGCATATCACTGTGTTCTTATGATCTTTTCCCCTATTCATCTGGTCACCAAGGCAACGCTCCCCATCCTGTCTTGTGTTTGATTGGTTGTCTGATAAAAGGATAAGCAACAACACCAACACCCTTAAAGGCCCTTGTGGCCCATCAACGAGCCCAGCGAAGTGGGTACATTTCTGTTGTTTCTTGATTGGCCACTCTCATGTGTACTGGTAGCTTTGTGATTAGTCACACCCATTTTGATCTTGGGACCATTTGTGGTCATACATTATATCTAGAAATCTGTGTTCATGCTGGATTTCATTTTGGACTACTTAAGAAAGGGGAAAAAGTCACTGGATTCATGCAACTGTTCCACCACTTCAATAAAAACACCCGTCATGAAAATCAGGAGAACATACACACTTGCAAAAATCATCTGTGATTATCAACTTGTTGAACCCCTGAAAAGGGTATACTTGTACATACATATAAGGTTTTTTTATTTCATATATTCTATATAATATCAAGTGTTCAAGTAAATTAGAACTATTGTCTCTGAGGCTAAAGAAGGAGGATGCCATTTTTAGTCCACCAATCCCAGAACCCTCTGGCTACCGTCGCAGGCTAAAATTACTCATTAAGGCAAAGCCAGTGATGAGTCAAACAGAAGACTTAGGATACCAAAGTCAGAAGTTCCTTTTCATGCACTTTTCCAACTAGACACTTACATTGAACCAAATGTATAGTTAAGCTCCATATAGTCATTAAAAGTTATAGTCATACGATTGTTGGATTGCTTTTCAGTTAGTGTGTTCTGCCTCTTAAGTGGAGCAAATTTGGTCAGAATTGGCTTTAATGTGTGATTCGAAGCTGCTTATGACCCGTTTTTAATTTTGAAGACAGCTCTGGAAGTTGGACCAGCTTTAAGCCAGAATGCACATTATTTGTTGTACCGTTTCCAGGGGTACAACAAGCTGATGATCACAGCTGATCGTCACAGCTGATCATCAGCTGCTCCCGACTGGTCGGATGGAATCCTGGCATGTTGTAATATTTAGTCAGCCAACTGCACACTCTAGCACTGTCAGAGCTGGGCTACAAGCTGATTTCTCAACTTTGGAGCTTTTTTTCCTGTGCCTGTGAAATATGGCCATGTGAGTTTGATAAAACCTGCCCTTGCATTTTTAAACCCTAGCATAGGCCTCATTATGTTAAAAAATGAAAAGCTTACTGTATGAGGTTGATGCAGATGCTTAAATTGTTGCTATAGCTGCACAAACAACACAGCAATTCACAGCAAAAACAACTACTGGTTCTCTGTTTCATGAAAGGAGAAGCTGTGGTCACTCATGAGACTCCATTGACTACTTCAAACTCAGAACAGCATTGGACAGGATTTAACTATTCAAGCTTGGGTGCTACGAAGCAGTGTTGTTTTCGTCAACCATGACGTTGACGAAAATATTTTCGTCGTCATCGTCAACGAAAACAAAACTCCACGTGTGTGTGCGCACGCGTGCGTGTGTGTCTGTGTGTTGGAGGAGCACAGCAGGCTGATGAGAGCTGTCAGAGCGGACTGAAGCTGCTCCTCTATGTTTAGCGTTTAACTGCCTGAGTTTTGCAACTCTGTTTGTCATTTTCGTCTCGTCCCATCAACGTAAACGTACTTTCGTCTCGTCACATTTTAGTCATCTCCGACTTATGTTTAGCTCGTCAACATTACGTCTTCGTCGTGGAAGAAAAGGCAAATATTTTCGTCAACGAAAACAACCAGTGTTGTTCTCGTTGACGAAAATATTTCCCTTTTTTGACGCTGGCGTTGATGAAAATATTTGACGAAATATGACGAAAACAACACTGCTACAAAGCTACAATGGTAGAGTTTCAGGGTGTGTGTCTGTGTGTAGCAAATGTGAAGTACAAGAAGTCAGCAATCAATATAATTTACATGCACAGCGAAGCCAAGCTACTGTCATGGTCTGATCTTGCTGGACTGCCGTCCTTGTCCCAATTTACAAGCACCAGGCAAGAATCGAGTATTGACAGTAGTGAATCTGCAGCTGCTACTTAAAGGGATATTCTGGCGTAAAATTAATTTAGGGTCAAACACTGTAACACCCAGTTAGACACCCCCTTGGGAGATGAATGTTGCCAACCGCTTGCTTCTCTTGTTAGACCAACTTTAGTAACGGCTGCACGATAGTAATACACAGCGGTCTCAGGAGCCACACAAAAACCTCCACAAAAACGCCACTCTGTAGCCACAAATAATGCTCAGAGCAGCACCTAACTTCATCAACGGTACATATAGGGTCCTAGCCATAGCACTAGCCACCAAACATCTATTTAACTTTGCCTGATTTCTTGAGTAAAAGGACTAAACACAACTCACCTACTCTCTTCCAGCAGCAAAGCAGCAGTTTGTAGCGAGACCTCGGGCCAGTCCATTATGGACTGCAGCAGGGTGAACAATTATGATCATTTCTTTATCATTTCCTTAAAGTAATAATCATCATAATAATCATGTTGCACTGCAGACGCAGTAGTTCTTCTGCCTTAGCGTCTCAGTCTGATTGTATTTCCATGAAGAAATTATCATAAATGTTCTTCCTTGAGCTGCGTCACCCCACTGTAGTCAGTGATGGACTCGCCTGAGGTCTCCGTACAAACAACAGACATGCTCCCTTTCAGCTTGTTACTACAGGGTTCTTCTCAAACCCAGTTGACAATCAACAAATTGCATTTGCAAGAGGCTAACGGGATGCTGTCAGTGCAAAATCGAGACGGGATCCTGTTGGCCTGAAAAGTTTAGGTAGGATTATTACATATCATATCAAGTAACCTATCTGGACATTTTTGCTCGATGCACTTCAGGCCTAATTTTTCACTTTTAACATCTTGAAAAAGGATTTATTTCTGGACTTGTGAGGTCATTATAGCTTTGAGATTTGAGTTATTGTTGGGAACAAACTAGAACAAGAACTTTCCTGGCACAGAAAATCGTTGTCTCCCACCTTCAGTGTCTAATACTTTGATATATGTTTTCAGAGACAGCAGTACCACAAGTGTCGCACAGTGTATCCCAGCCTGTGGTGAAAGACCCTTTGTCTCTTTAACAGTCACCATTTGGTTTCTGTAAACCAGGCCAGAGAACAGATGTGTGGTGGCAGATCAGACGAACAATGGCCATGTGTGGTTTGGAAAGCAGTGACACACAACGTCCGTCTGCCAACAACAAGCTCAGGATCACTTAACATTCAAATTGGTCATTTCAGCAGGCAATGACAACCTTTCCTTTGTTGGGAATATTTGTCAGCAACATATGGGAGATACCAGTGGACACTGGACAGATGGATAATGCTGCACAGGGAGTCTGAATTGGATGTTTGGAGGCAGTTGAACCATGTTTTATTATGACTGTGTCTTTGCTGGAATGTACTTAAAATGCAGAGTTGAAGCAGAGAGGACCTTGGATTATCCTGAGCAACTTGGGTGTTGTGTTTTGAAAGACAAACTGCTGTTGAACCTTCCCTGGGTGCAGTCATCTCAAACAAAAAAATCCTCTTCACCTGCAAAGTATAAGGGGTGGTGAGCCTCCAAAAACATGCACAAAGTATTATTTTAGTCAGTGTATTTTTGCAGATTTTGCTTCAATATTACAGCACAGATATGCCTTTTTGTGCTCTTCTACTGCCCCCCATCAAAATGCAGTGCTTACTTTCTGCACCCGTTGCTGCAAACAATCAAACCTGAGGAAGGGAAAGTCAAAAAGAAAAAGCAATTTAAACCTGCCCTGTCAACACAGCATCATCCCCCCTCAGGTTACATCCTCACATGCCTGCTGACAGTGATGGTTTAGAGCAAGAGTCGAAAGGAAAGTATAGTATGAGAGGCAGAAATCGCAGCATCCGTTGAGTTATTTTCATTCATCTGATTAGTGGGGATTATATAAGAAAAATGAAAAACATTGGATAAAAATAAGAGGCTACTTCGCCCTTCAGACAGTACAAAATCCATCCAGTATCTATTTATATGCACTCTATTTTTAGCCCCCGATGGTGCCACAGAAATTGACACATTGAAAAGCACTGCACGTGACAGACTTAGCCTCTGCAGCTCACTGCCTCCACTTCCTTGCGTACATCTGTCTTTTTTTTCTCTCCTTCTCTGTCTTATTGAAGTTTGTTTTTCTCCTCTCCCTCCCTCGTGTCGGACTCATTTTCTCTCCCCATCCCTCCTTTGGCTGTACTCTCATTCAAATTCTCTATCTGGCTCTATCTCTCCCTCTCCCCCTCCGCTCCATTCAGTCGTGAAGCTCCGACTACACAGTCACGTTTTGCTTCATACTTTCACAAACCCCTGAAGGCGAGCCATTTCAGGATATTTCACAGCGGAGCAACACACAGACTCTGTCACTGTCATAGACGTGGGCACACAGACACGCACCATGCATCGACACACACACACACACACACACACACACACACACACACATGCACACGCCTAACTTCCTCCTTGCATCACACGTGTGTCTTTAACCTGCCACAACTGATAGGGTTTAACCACACCGAGACGTTTTGTGAGCCGTTTTGCAAATAAGCCAAGCGGCAACAAAAGCAAGGATGGGATTTGCTGCAGGCAAGAAACAGCTAAATTCATATATAGATTCATAAATGTATGAATGCAACGCAGCTAAAAATAAAACAAGCTTTTATTTATCTATTTTCTTCAACCCGCCCCCATGAACTCCCACCCTCCCCAGCCAAAATCATTCAGCTCATGCTTCTGCGCCGCTCTCTGAGGAGATGTGCTAAAAATAGAGGTGTTTCCCGTGCACGTTCCAGAATTATTTCCCTCAGTCTCTAACCCTCCCTCCTCCTCCTCCTCCTCCTCCTCCTCAGTCTCTCCTCCTCCTCCTCCTCCGTCTCTCTTGCTCACATGCAGCCTCCATCCTCCTGCAGTCCTCTGTCAGCCGGATACACATGCACAACACAGAGTCATTTAAATTGGCTACTTAATTTATTCTGCTGCATTGGCAGGGAGTTGTGTTCCTTATCTAAATACACACACACACACGGGCACATACATAAAATAAAATCAATTCAATTTGCCATTTGTTAAGAGCTATTTGTGTTCCAGATGCACAACAGCACAACAGTAACCACTGTGGCTCAAAACACAAGCTGTTTCAGACATTTTTTGTGTGTGTGTGTGAGGGATGAGCAGAGGACGGTAGTTTTTCAGGTGGCGTGTCTTTAGGAAATTCTGTCAGTGCAACATCATTTTTTTCTACCTTTGCTGGAAAATTTAGCACAGGTTTGTGTTCAGTTGTAGTACTACTCTGATTCATCAGTGGTCTGGTTTACTGAAAAATCAGAAGGATAAGGTCTTGTTTGATTTTGGGCATACTGAGGGAACTTTTCCACCAGAGTTCCAACAGTGAGTGATTTGGTTGAAAAAATGCACGTTATTTTGGTTTTTAGTGTCAATTTACATCTTGTAGACATGGGAAAATTTGCAATATCCAGCAGTCAGATTCTAGATTGAATTACCCCCTTGCTCACTCCCTCTCATTGATGCCTTAGAAGAAAAGAGGCCCCTGTGATGCATGGTAAGTATGATTTGTCATTCGGCAGGTTTTTACTGTCAAAAAATTCTCACAACACAAATTCTCTATCCTCCACCAATGGCATCCTTCTCTGTAAAATGTCTTTAAATTGAAGCAAATATTAGGCATACAGAGCAATATAAAATAATGATTTCTACTTACAAAAGTAGAAGTCCTGTGAGTCAGTGTTTTTGTAACCTGGCAACAGTAAGTGCCATAGGAAGCACTCTGAGACTGAGGTCATCAGCTGTGCCGCCGCAAAAAAAAACAAAAAAAAAAACACCATTAGCATTCTAGTTGGAAAAGCCGTTAGTTGACACAGACCTTAACACCTAAAACGATCATTACCACTTTGTAAGTTTCCAACACAATGGCAATGCTGTTCACCACTTCATTAAATACTAACAAACGCTTCAACTCCATCCTTGTTGTTCTCGTTACTATTTTTAGATACAGGCTGAAATGGGTGTCAGACAAAGGGGACAGAGCACACAGGGCCCTCGTGTCCCTCATGAAATGACAGTTTTACCAGAACTGCTTCACTGGCGTCTATTGCCAGGAATCAATAAACACCCTAAGAACAGTAAGAATCAAGTATTCACTTACAACAGAGTGCAAACTCATTTAAGATTATCATTACCACCAGGCAGATAATATAATGACAAAGTACATGAAGAAAGGACTGACCTTGTTAGGCCTTGAGAAATCCAAGAAATTAGAAAACAACACCTAACAAATGAAACTGAGTTCATTGCACACACTTCAGTCCTGAGTAGTGTTCAAATGACACGCTAACCAATCACTCTGTGACCATCAGATAAACCAAATAAATCTAATATCCTTCAAAGCTTTTAATTTTGAGTGGAATAGTCATTATTTTTATCATCGCTGTAACAATAATTACAATGTGGTTTAAGAGAAGAGTTTGGCTCAGGTTTTGTTTAAAATAATGTGGTTAGAGTTAAAGGGAGGCCATGGCCAAAAGAATTGGTTCAGTGTTTATGCAGTGGTGTTGAATGAGGTGCATATCAACAGCGCAGTCTATAACAAGCCTAGAAACTTAGCCAAATGTTTGCTCAGAGAGCCATTTTTTGCACTAATGTATGTGACGTGAAAACACAGCCACACTAAAGATAACATCTGAAATGCGGTCATGAGACTGACAGTGATGTACAAACACTTGCAGATGCCAAAGCACTTAAAAAATGTCTTAATAGAAAGTGCTCTTACACTGACATTAATGTTTGGGTTGGAGTGTCTTTAAATCTGCTTTACTGACCTTGCTGACTTTGACTCATTGTTCTGTTGTTTGGTCAAACTATTCAGACATGGACACAGAACCAAAGTACTGGGCCTGAAAGAGTTTAAATGCACACAGTACCAGATGATCCAGCTTTCGTGTTGGTTCTTTGATTGGTTTCTCAAAGAAAGGGCTGAGAGTCTCTTACACGTCTTTTATGTTGGACCCATCACTTCTTGACTAAATTTTATACATAAGTTTTCTTCACTTTAGAGTCTTGTAGATAAACCTTGACTTTAAGATTGGCATGTCAGAAGTGCATAAACTGCTTATTATAAATAGCTGTAATCAACTGAGGGTCTCCACTTTTTGCAGATGATGTGGTTCTTTTGGCTCTTTCAGGCTGGGACCTCCCACAGCCATTGGGGCAGTTTGCAGCCGAGCATGAGTGTCAGTGCCTCCTAATCTGAGGCCATAGTTCTCTGCAGGAAAAGGGTGGATTGCTGACTCTGGGTGGGGAGTGAGTGCCAATCCCAGGGGAGTTTAGGTATCTAAGGATCTTGTTTACAAGTGAGGAGAAAAAGATTGTGAGATTGACAGATGGTTTGGTTCAGCGTCAGCAGACCTGCAAGTGTTGCATCGAACTGACCTGGCAGGGGTTGGTGGACCTATGTTCAAACCCTCATCTTTAGTTATGAGTTATGGGTTGTGACTAAAAGAATAAGATTGTGGATACAAGCAGCTAAAATAAGTTTCCTCCAAAGGGTTGCTGGGCTTAGCCTTAGAGATAGGGTTAGAAGCTCGGACATAAAGAAGTAGATCCACTGCTCCTTCACATCAAGAGGTGTCAGGTGGATTGGGCATTTGATATGGCTCCAACTGAATCTCCCTTTAGTGGTGTACTAGGCATGTCCAACTAGGAGGACAACCAGAGCTTGTTAGAGGGATTAGGTATCCCACCTGGGCTGGGAGCGCCTTGGGATCCAAGAGAAGAAGCTAGAAAGTGCCGTTGGGGAGGGGGAGGCCTGGATCGACTTGTTTGGACTGCAGCCCTGCAACCTGACCCAAAGTGGAAGAAAATGGATGGGTAAAATCAACTATATCTGAGCTGAAAGCCCCTGTTGTATGATTTAAAAGTCACCAAAGAGCTGTGTTTGAATTGCTGTTGTGATTATAGTGAAATTCAACATCTTTTTTTGAGTTCAAACTCCAAAGAACTCAACAGTGACTAATCAAAATAACTGAGGACACATTTATGGTACCTTTAATGCAGCAAATATAAGAGCTCCTCTGTCCATTTGTACTCCTGGAATTAGGATCTAATTTAAGACTGAGTCTTATTACCCACTGTCACCCACTGTACCTTTGACTGAGGGTATTAAAAGGTTTGTCTAATAAATGCATTTGGAGTTATGATACAAATGTATAACTGATTTAAAAAGAAATGGACGGACATTAAAAGATTGCTTATGACAATTACAAGCAGCGTGATTGCAGTGGTCACAGTGCATTATTAACAACTCAGTGAAAGTCACACTCTGACTTAATTACCATAGAGGCTTGGCTCCTTTCTCACTCTTTGTTTGGTGGCATTTAACAGTCACTTTTTGTCTCGAGTCATTATTACTACTTTCATCTGCTTCTTCAGAAGCTTTCATTTTAAATTTGAACTCAATTCTTTTCTCTCCTGCTTATTTTTTGTGATGTGCTCATGCTTTTTCCTGCTGCCATGTTGATTTCTATTGGGTAGGTTAATTAAAATTCCCCTTCCCCACTCAAACCATCCTATAACCATCCTTGCAAATTTACAGCTGCTTTTTAGACCCCCTGATTTTTCCCGGAAAAACTGTTCGCAAATTGCATGAACCTTTATAAATCCAGCAAACCAGTAAAACGCCATTTCACCCAAACTTATCCTTTCTTCCTAGTATTTGTCCGACCCATTAAATGGTTTTGCATTAAGGAGAGAGGTGCACTCAACTGATTACTCTCAAAACATTCCCTACATGAGGGAAAGTACACGAATCTGAAGTCCTATAGACATATGTATATTACTACTCCCTGGTCAGGGACCTGCAAACGGAGGACAAGTGTGCCCACACTGAACCAGTGTCTGGTCTAAAAAAGGAAATCTGACTTTGTGTTGGGGTGTGTTGCTCCAAGTTCATATGAGAGACGGACCACATACCAGCACTGTGAGATTTTCTTTAACAGGTTCATACTGCTCTGTCCTGCTCCTCCGGGTCCTCCAGCACTCCCAGTGGGTTGATCTAGATGACCAACACTAGTTGAGTCCAACTTGATAACAGAGCTGTGCTGTGATGGCCCCTTCCCTAGGGCACACCCCGTCTTAACTTGTAGAAGTATGCTATCAAAGAGGAAGCAAAACTTCATTTTATGAGCTTAAAGTAGCTAGCTAAGCATCCATGGTTTGAGTTTTATTTGGGCAATCAATCAATCAATCAATCAATCAATCAATCAATCAATCAATCAATCAATCAATCAAATTTTCACAGTGCCACATCATGAGAATGACTCAGGACACTTCCCAAAATCAATCAGACCTGTACTATAAAGCAAGTTGAGTGATCCCACAGGATCTTCTGGTTGTCTGGCTTCAGGGGCTGTATATACTGACACATATTCTCTGGTCAATGGTAAATGGACTGTTTATGTAATAGTAAGACTACTTCTCTAGTCTTCTAACCACTCAAAGTGCTTTTACATACCTGTCACATTCACCCATTCACACCACACTCACACACTGATGGCAGACTGCTATGTAAAGCGCCCATCGATTTTTGACTGATACCATTCACACATCACTGGGTGCAGCCAGAGGGGGCATGTGGGGTCAGTTATCTAACTAAATAACAGCAGCACCTGGGATCAAACCCCAAAACTTCCAATTGAGAGATGACCAACTCTAACCATAGCTTCCCCTATTCAATGGAAAAGCAGCTGTTAGGGCTTTTTGGCCACTCCTTTACACAGAAGCAGCATTTTGGGCAGCTGAAAATGCAAACCTTCAAAAATAGGTTGCAGAAAGGAATCTCTGGAAATGTCACCCCTGCAGATGCATGGCCCCAGTTGCACATGCTTATTACATGCCAAGTC